GGACGGCGCGCCCCGCGGGGTTTCCCCGGAGAGACCGGAGCGGGGTGGGAGGCCGGGGGGCACGGCAAGCCCGGGGTGGGTGCGGGGAGTGTGGAGTCTGTGCCGTGGGGCTGGCCGGCGAGAGGCCGCGACAGGGCCACTTCCTGCCTTCTCCAAGCCTTGGTGGCGACCCATGCGGGGCATGCGCAGTCCCCACTTGTCTCTTTGTCGGGGGAGTGCCTGGTGACCAGGGGGCACCGGGAACTGATTGGCCAAAGGCTGAGAGGCTGGAGCGGGACTCAGTTTGGGTCCTAGATCCCAGCTGCAACCTGGGTCCCAAGAAAGAGGGCGCAGTTGGGTGGGCAGCCAGCCAGCCTCGCATTAACAGAGCCGGGCGCAGTGCCAGGCCCTGAGCAGGAGGTGAGGAGACACCAGGAAAGGTGGGGGGTGGGGCAGGGAGGATGGACGTGCACGGACAGGGGCTCAGGTTTTAAGTGAACAGGATGGCCAGCTCCTCACCAAAAAATCAAGGGGACCCCTCCCTGACCTGTGCTGTAAGGAAAGTGAACCCCGGAAAAGGGCTGAGGGAGTCCCTTCAGGTGCCCGGTCCTCCCAACCAGCTGTTGTGGGCACTTTTCAAGATGCCTCTCCGACCTGACTCTCCAAGGCCCAAGGCTTCTTCATTCATGCCCACCCTCCTCTTTGTTTGTCTCCCACGACATTCTCCCTCCTCCCCTTATTTATTTCTGGACCTTTCCTTTCCAAGAAAGGAGCTCCGAGGTCTAGAGGCTATTCGTTGGGCCGCTCACAGCAGGGCCAGTAGTTCAAAACCACTGGTCACTCAGAGGGAGAAAGATGAGACTTTCTACTCCTATAAAAGAGTTACAGTCACAAAAACCCTCAAGGGCAATTCTACCCTGGTCTGTAGGGTTGCTGTGAGTCAGGATCCACTCGATGGCAAGCCTTTTGTTGTTGCTTCCTCCCCCAACGTCAGCTCCTGGAGGGGAGTGTCTCTTGCTCAGTGCTGGGTCCCTGGGGTGTAGAACAGCACCCCATGTGTAGTAGGTCCTCCTGGAGTCGGAGGTGGATGCAGGGAGATTTGGGCGTGCTGTAGGAAGAACATGGTGCCCTGGGTGCTTGCATAGTATGGGTTAGGCCTTGGGCTGTGGACCACAAAGTCAGTCAGCAGTTCAAATCCAGCAGCTCATGGGGTGGAGGTGGGGGTGGGGTAGAGGTGAATCTGTCTGCTCCTGTAAAGATTGACAGCCTTGGAAACCCACCGGGGCAGTTCTACTCTGTCCTCTAAAGTAGCAATGACCCAGAATCGCTTGATGGCACTTTGGTTTTGAGTCTGAGGAAGAGCATTTTCCCGTGGCTGGAACAGAGCCCGCAAAGGAAAGAGGGGTGGAGGCTGGCTGGGCAGGCACTCACAGGCTTCAAAGGAGATCAGTTTCGCTCCTAGTGCCTCCGGGAGGTATCAGAGGATTCTGGGCAGGGAGGGACATGGATCTCCTGGCCAGTGTTCGAAGTCGGGGCTCCAGGGCTGATCAGGCTGGATTGGACACTGGTTTACTTGGGAAAGAAAATTGATCCGGGAAGGGCTTTGTCTTACAAAGGGAGCCCTGGCTCGCCCTGGCCCGGCCCCCAGCCCTGTGCTCTCCTCCTCCAGGCCCCTGAGTGCCAGTACTGGTGGTGTCCCTCGTCTCCAGGAGGCCCATGCAGCCGGCACCCGGGCGTAGCCGGGCTGGGGCCCCCAGCCGATTCCTGCCCCTGCAGTCACAGCGCCCCGAGGGGGCAGGGGACGTGGTGATGTACGCCTCCACCGAGTGCAAAGCCGAGGTGACGCCCTCCCAGCATGGCAACCGCACCTTCAGCTACACGCTGGAGGACCACACCAAGCAGGCCTTCGGCATCATGAACGAGCTGCGGCTCAGCCAGCAGCTGTGCGACGTCACGCTGCAGGTCAAGTACGAGGACGCGCCGGCCGCCCAGTTCATGGCCCACAAGGTGGTGTTGGCCTCGTCCAGCCCCGTCTTCAAAGCCATGTTCACCAACGGGCTCCGGGAGCAGGGCATGGAGGTGGTGTCCATCGAGGGCATCCACCCCAAGGTCATGGAGCGCCTCATTGAGTTCGCCTACACAGCCTCCATCTCCATGGGCGAGAAGTGCGTCCTGCACGTCATGAACGGCGCCGTCATGTACCAGATCGACAGCGTCGTGCGCGCCTGCAGCGACTTCCTGGTGCAGCAGCTGGACCCCAGCAACGCCATCGGCATCGCCAACTTCGCCGAGCAGATTGGCTGCGCCGAGCTGCACCAGCGTGCCCGAGAATACATCCACATGCACTTCGGGGAGGTGAGCACAGGGCCGGCGGGAGGGCCTCCTCTCCGGATGCTCAGGGCTCAGAAGCTAGGTTCTGTCTGAGCTTCTAGTCCCCACATCTGGGAGACCGGACAGTGGCCGAAGGGAAGTGATTTGTTCCTTGTGCTGCTAATCGCAAGGTCAGCAGTACAAAACCACCAGCTGCTCCTTGAGAAAAAGACACTGGCTATCTTACCCCGGTAAAGAGCTACAGTCCTGGAAGCCCTAGAGGGCAGTTCTACCCCATCCTGTAGGGTCGCTGTGAGTCAGCCTTGACTGGCTTAGTGGCTTTGTTTGGTTTCTGTGTTCCATGGTGTGTCAGAAATCGGGGGTGGAGGCAGGGGGCACGTCTGCAGTATCAACCTGCCGGGGAGGAGGGGTGCTGAGCAGGCCCACCCCAGCGGGTATTTATTGAACCCTCAGGACATGCAAACTGCAAGCCTGACCCAAAGTCCTGCTTCCCTGGGTCCCTTCTGCGCTGTTCTTGGTGCACCAGTGGCATAGCAGCTCAAAGCTCTCGGTCACCAACGCCTAGGTTGGCAGTTCAAACTCACCACCTCCAGAAAGATATGCAGCCTTAAAAACTGGCCCCAAGGGTCTTTCCGGCCGTGGGCGAGTGGTGTCCCGAAGGCTGGTTTCTGGTTTCATTTTCATTTCCAAGCGGAGGAAGTTCTCAGCAGACACCGGTTCCGGCGTGGTGACACCTGACATGACGCACCCCTGAGTGACAGTGTAATGACAGCGTGTTGGGCACTTGCTGTGTGTGCCAGCCCCTTTCTACAGCCTTTAAACCGCTGGCTCTGCCCAGCTCTGGGGGTAAGGAGGTACTGCTGTCAGCCCAGGCAGGCGGGAAAAGCTCAATATGCCATGCCTTAGGGTGCCCAGGCTCTGCACCGCCCACCTCGGGGTCTTCTAAGCCCGCCTCTGATGCCTGGGGCCAACCGAAGTCCAGGGCGTTGTCCACCCAGGGTGGGCCAGACACTTGCCCAGGGTCACACAGCCAGAGAGTGGGCAGGGAGGCAGAATGGCAGCTCCGGCAGGCGCCTTCAAGAGCCTTCCCTTCTCCCGAGAACATTCTTTCCCATTTTCTGCACTCTGCCGGTTTCCTAATGTGTGATTGGGTTCGAAGAGGAGAGAGCTCTCGGGGCATCGAGTTAAAAAACCAGTGGCACAAAGAGGTACAGGGCACACTCACTTTGCGCGCACACACTGTGTACCTGGCAAATAAAAGTAAACCACCTTTCATTTGAGCGGAGTCCCCTGGTGACGGCACATATTACAGGGCGGAATGGCTCCATGGGCTTCTTGCAGCGGAGCTGGGCTGCTCACCACAAGGTCAGCAGTTTGAGCCCACCAGCTGCTCCACAGGAGAAACATGGGGCTTTCTGCTCCTCAGAGTGCTTGCAGCCTCAGAAGCCACAGGGGCAGTTCGGCCTTGACCTATCGTAAGGTCACTAGGAGTCAGAGTTGATTCGATGGCAGTGAGTGAGTTTGTAAATACTCTACTGAAACGGGTCACCAGGCTTTTCTTCCTCGGTGCCACCGCATGGGTCAGAGCTGCCACCCTTTTGGTTAGCAGCTGTGCACACTGTTCACATCATGCCGCCTGGGGCACCCGCCGCACCCAACACACGTCATGACCTCCTGTCATCCCCACACCGTTTGACTCCCGGTTACCCAGACGCGGATATGGAGACTGGGTCCGAGGCAAGCTGAGTGCCGGGTCCAAGGTGGTGGTGAGGGCCCGGGGAGAGCCTGTGACGTTATGCCCCCACCCTCCCCCACCACAGGTGGCCAAGCAGGAGGAGTTCTTCAACCTGTCCCACTGCCAGCTGGTGACGCTCATCAGCAGGGATGACCTGAACGTGCGCTGCGAGTCCGAGGTCTTCCACGCCTGCATCGACTGGGTCAAGTACGACTGCGAGCAGCGGCGCTTCTACGTGCAGGCGCTGCTGCGGGCTGTGCGCTGCCACTCGCTCACGCCCCACTTCCTGCAGATGCAGCTGCAGAAGTGCGAGATCCTGCAGTCGGACTCGCGCTGCAAGGACTACCTGGTCCAGATCTTCCAGGAGCTGACGTTGCATAAGCCCACGCAGGTGATGCCCTGCCGGGCGCCCAAGGTGGGCCGGCTCATCTACACAGCTGGCGGCTACTTCCGCCAGTCCCTCAGCTACCTAGAGGCCTACAACCCCAGCGACGGCACGTGGCTGCGGCTGGCCGACCTGCAGGTGCCGCGGAGCGGGCTGGCGGGCTGCGTGGTGGGCGGGCTGCTGTACGCCGTGGGTGGCCGGAACAACTCGCCCGACGGCAACACCGACTCCAGTGCCCTGGACTGCTACAACCCCATGACCAACCAGTGGTCCCCCTGTGCCTCCATGACTGTGCCGCGCAACCGCATCGGGGTCGGGGTGATCGATGGCTACATCTACGCCGTCGGCGGCTCCCACGGCTGCATCCACCACAACAGCGTGGAGAGGTGAGGTGGGCCAGGACTCCGAGGGGCCCCAAGCCTATAGGGCCCAGGAGCCTCCCTGTTGTCTGTCTGTGTGAGCCACTCTGCTCGGGGAGCGGGATCCTCCGTGCGGAAGTGGCACCCCACGGAAGCTTTACGGCCAGTGACCTGGGATGGTATGTTTGGGGCACGGCAGGTGGGAAAAGGAGTCTACCCACCTGGTAGGTAATGTGCAGATGTTTTTGAAACGTGACCTTTCACAGCCGTCTGTCCAAAAATTGTCACAGCCCACAGACAGGTGAGGTTCTCCATCTCCCGAGTGCAGGGTGCCGCCCCGGCCCACTGTGCCTGTGTTTACCTGGCACAGCCTGGTCCCCTGCCTCCTCCCTGGAGTGTGACTGTAGGTGCAGTGCTTACCTGGAGAGCCTGTGAGGGGAAGGCCCTCCGCTGGGGATGCCGGGGATCTGGGGGAGAGGGGTTTCAAACCGACACTCCAGGGGCTTCTGACATCGAGGAGGCTGAGTCAGCCTAAGCAGACCACTCTGGAGGACAGGGACATGAGGGACAATCGCGCTGCATGCACAAGTGTCCTTGAGCCCGCTGACCCAGGCACCGCCTGGTTGTTACAGTTGAGGTTCTGGGCACCTAGAGGGCTGGACCACCGTTTATTCAATGATACCAGGCACACCACCTCACCTCTCTGACATCCCATCTCCTGGTCTGTAAGGTGTGGTGCGATAATAGAGCCCACCTGCCCCATTGGGCTGTCGGCACACGGGTGCTGGGGACACGATTGCATTGACACTGTGCCAGTATACTGAGCTACTGGGGTCTACCAGACATGGGGTGGGGGGTGCCCTCGAGCAGACAATGGCTGTCAGCTTCAGTGGTCTCCTCCCGAGTATGGGCTTCTGACCACCCACCTTGTAGAACATTCTAAGGAGTCAAGGGTTGGCTGATGTAGAGAGCCAGGAGCAGGAGGGGGTGAAGGGAGACATCGGACAGTGTAGAATATGACAAAATAATAATAATTTGTAAATTATCAAGGGTCCATGCAGGAGGGGGGGGGGGGGTGGACACTGTGCTGCTGTCCTTGCTTCCTCATGAGCCCTCTGCCTTTACAGGTATGAGCCCGAGCGGAATGAGTGGCACTTGGTGGCCCCCATGCTGATGCGGAGGATTGGGGTGGGCGTGGCTGTCCTTAACCGACTGCTCTATGCCATCGGTGGCTTTGACGGCACCAACCGCCTCAATTCAGCCGAGTGTTACTACCCGGAGAGGGACGAGTGGAGGATGACCACACCCATGAATACCATCCGGAGTGGGGCAGGTAGGAGGGGCATGCGGGGAGGGTACGGAGCTGCCAGGAAGACCACTCCCCAACCCCAACGCTCCCCTCCACCCCCTTCAGGTGACAGCCATGCCTGAACCCTACTGCTCATGCAGGAGAGCTACAGCCCCCCAGGATCCTGGTGTCCGTCCCGCCCACCCACCAACCTTTCTGAAAAGTCTCCGGGGAGAGGTGTGGGGTGGGCCCACTAAGGAAGGCGCTGGCCCCCGAGTCACGCCCCCACCCTACCCCCCCAATTTTGGTGCCATGTAGGTGTCTGCGTCCTGCACAACTGTATTTATGCCGCCGGGGGCTACAACGGCCAGGACCAGCTGAACAGCGTGGAGCGCTATGACGTGGAGACAGAGACCTGGTCCTTTGTGGCTCCCATGATGCACCGGCGGAGCGCCTTGGGAATTACGGTGCACCAGGGGCGGATCTACGTCCTAGGTGAGACCCGTGGGCGGGGCTGGGGTTCGGCACGCCCCCTCTGCCTGGCCCACCTCCTTCCACGGTCCCTGCCCCGTCCCTGGGGGTGGGGAAAGGGCTCGCGCGTGACTGTGACAGCCCCCTGCCCTCCCTATAGGAGGCTACGACGGCCACACCTTTCTGGACAGCGTGGAGTGTTACGACCCAGACACGGACACCTGGAGTGAAGTGACCCGCATGACATCGGGCCGGAGCGGGGTGGGTGTGGCCGTCACCATGGAACCTTGCCGAAAGCAGATCAACCAGCAGAACTGCACCTGCTGAGCCCTTTTTTACCCCCGGTAATTCTTGGGCTCAAAAAAAGGAAAAGGAAAAAAAAAGTCCAATTGAGAGTATTGTGTTCACATAAAAACAGACGCAAGTCAAGGCAAGAGAGCGAAACCTCCTTATGCCCACCCAGAAGGCCAGGACCCTCCGTGTTCCAAGGACAGCCTGAAAGGAAAGAGCCCACGCAGGAAGCCACCCAATCAAAGACTTCCATGAAGGCGTGAGGAAGCCGCCCACCGAGAAGCTTCTGTCCCCTCTGAGGCCAAAGCAGGTGCCAAGGCCAGTCCAGTGGCTGTCCCGGCGCCAGTGTGATTAGCCTGGTCGGGCTCAACCACTGAGATGTGGGGGTACGGACCCCAGGGATGAACCTGTACATAGAACCTGGCTGTCCCCACGCAGGTCAGTCATTTTGTCAAACAACCCTGTAACTTTCCCTTGAAATAAAGAACAGACTAACCAGTGTCTTCACCGCTTCTCGGCTGGAGGCCTTCAACCCAGGGAACACAGAGGACTCTGGTTTCAGGCTTGTCTCTAAACCCGGATTGATCTTGGGCCACCGTGCCCTGCTATGTAGGGCACCTCTTGCCCTGCTGGCTGCCACACAGGCCTCCCTTGTCTCAGGGGCAGGTGTCCTCAAAGGCAATGGGGCGTGGAAGCTCATTTCTTTTATTTTAAATGTAAGTCAGCAGGATCTGATAATAGGCCTGTCAAAGTCCTTCAGGCATCACCAGAAGGCATTCATTTTCGGGTGCTGTCAGTCCAGCCCCCCATGTGTCAGTGTCTCTGTGCTCTGGGCTCTTCACGCCAGGGACCTACCAGGGTCCTTTCACATGTACCACACAGTCTCGTGTTCAAAGGCAGGCCATTCCCCCCAACCTGCCTTTCCGACCTGGTGGGACCCTGTCCAGACATTCATTCATGTGCCCCAGTAACGCCGACTGGACCTCTGTTGTATTTGGATCCTTGGGGATTCAACCAGAAGTGTTCCTAAGAGAGAATCCTCAGGAATTGTTTTCAGCAAGGCGATGCCAGACACGGGCCTCTGAACAACATAGGCAAAAGCAGACCATGGCCCAGTCTTCCACCAATCAGCCAGGGGTGGCCACAAGGAGGATCCAGTCTGCCAGTAGCTTATGGAAACTTGGTGGCACTGTCTGGTAAGCATTGACTGCTATGGTTGGTGGTTTAAACCCACCAGCTGCTCCTTGGGAGAAAGGAAAGGTGATCTACTCTGGAAAATATTTACAGCCTCAGAAACCACTGAGATGTTATGAGTCAGAACCACTCCCTGGGTTCCCGTTGGTTTGGTTTTCCAGGAGCAGAGAGAGGAAACACAGGATTCCTTCCATCAGGTACCTCCCACCTCTGCACCGATCCTCAGCTCTGGAAGACTTAGAAAGCCTTGCCTCTAGTACTCTGCCCCTTGTCTGAAGGTGTCTAGGGAACAGGAAAAGATGCCCACGTCGGTTGCATTGTCTGAGTGGCGGAAAGGACAGGGATTATAAATATAATATCTGGACAGGCTTCTAGTCCTTTCAAAGCACATCTACACATACTGTCTGTCACAATCACACTGTGAGCCAAGATAGGCAGACATGAACTACCCCCACCCCCCACAGAGAAGCAGAGGCTCAGGGAAGTGACTAGCCCAAGGTCATACAGCCAGGAAGTAGGGGGTCCACATTTGACTTTCAGAGCCTGCCACCAGTCTAAGCCATAGCCAGCCACCTTGTGCTCTGCTGGAGAGGGGGGATATTGGATGGGGCCTGCTGGATCAGCAAGGAGCCCCGGCTGCGGTGTGGATTAATGGTTGGGTTGCTACCAGCAAGGTCAGCAGTTTGAACCCACCAGCTGCTCCATGGGAGAAAAAGGAGGCTTTGTGCTCCCGTGAAGAGTCACAGGCTGGGAAACCAAAAGGGACAGTTCTACTCTGCCCTGTAGGGTCCCTCTGAGTCAGAAGCGAATCAGTGACAGAGTCCGGGCTTGAATTGGGTCAGTGAAGGGTCCCTGGTGGTGCAGCAGTTAAGCACTCCACTGACAGGTCAGCCGATTTGCACCCACCAGAAAAAGGAGGCAGTAGACATCTGCTTAGAAACCTTATGGGGCAGTAAATTAAGAATTGACTCAGCGGCAGTGGGTTTGGTTTTGTGGGGTCTAGGCATAGCAGTGAAAGTTCTGGAAGCAGTGAAAGTTCTGGAAGTGGTGATCCAATCGAGAAGAGAGTGGCAGTTGCCCTTGGGGGTGTCACCCCCTCTGCCAGTCAGGTTCTGCTGGGTAAGTGAAGCAGGTAAAAGACAGCAGTCCGTGAGTCAGACAGCAGTCCGTGAGTCAGGCCTTCTCTGCAGTCGTTCCTCAAAAAGGTGGGCCGGACACCATGGCTGGACCTCACTGTCAAACTCCACAAAATAACTGTCCAAACTATGAGTCCTTGCTCTCCTAGGCCATGAGTAAGACAGGAGAAAGTCCCTCCCCTCCTGGGAATCACAGCCCAGGAGGGCAGGGAGAGAAGCCTGACCAACACCCAAGGATGCCTCAGTTCTTCCCAGTTTGCAATCCCACATCCCAGAATCCCCTGCAAATGCAAGAACCAAACGCACTGCCATGGAGTGGATTA